CCCCAAAACCCCAAAACCCCTTGGGTGAAATAGGCGATAATTAAAGTAAATAGATTATAATGGATAAAAAATCATTAACAATGAAACTATTCAAATCAGGGGTTGAGAAAAAGTTAAAATAAGAGAAAAAAAAACTCAGAAAGGGACGCCCCACTTGCAAAAAAGATGAAGACGAGGAGAAAAAGAAGAGTTTAAACCCCAAGTACAAATTTATTAATATTCAAATGGAAAAGCTAGAGAACATGTACATAGTTTTATCTGCTGAAGATGGAATGAGTAAGTTTAAATATAAAGATGACAGGCAAGGTTTATTAACGACTGTTTTATTAGACTTTGGCAAGCAAGTTGATGAATTTGAGAGAGACTTTCAAAAATTAAGAGCAGACATTAGAGATATAAAGGATAGTATTAAAAAGAGAGCAGAAGCACTTGAATTGAATGACTAGAAAAATGCATAAATAGTTTGTAAGTAAAAATGAAATTCTCTATCTCTTCAAAGCTATAAGTCAAAATAATTTTAATTCCTTCGAAATTTATCAACAAGCTTAAAATGAATTAATACTCTACTTATAGAACTGAGATATTAAATTTAAAGGCAACTTGATGAGGCATTTACATTCTATAAGACTCTTTAATCAATTCTAAGGTAAAAACGCAAAACTTATAAAGAGGAGGAATTAAAGAATAAACAAGATAGACTGGAGAGACTACATGATAATTTAGAGGTATTAAAAGACGTTTATAATGACTAAAATGCATTTGAGCAAGGCAAAATGGGAGTGAAGGTTATGAATGATGCAGACATAGAGAATTAAATGGTTTTTTTATCAAGGAAAGAGATGAATGAGAGAGCCAAAAAGTATGAAGATTAAGAAGATGATGAGGATGCATTTAGAGATATGAATGAATACGAAAATGAATTGATGAAGAAATTTGATGAAAATGATTAAGAAATTGACGATATGCTTGACAAAGTCATCGAAATGGTTGATGTTATCAATATAAAGGCTTAAAATATAGGAACATCTATCAAAACCTAGGCTGAATTAATCAAGCAAGTAAATAATAAAGCTGAAAAAGCCAGAAAAAGATTATAGAAAAGAGCGAGTGCTCTTTAAGATGTTCTAGAAAAGTATAGAAAAACTAACAAAATGTGCATAGATATGATTCTAGTAGTAGTTTTCCTGATATTTATCGGAGTATTAATTGGAATTCTAAAGAAAAAGGGCTACTTTTGAATGTTATGGCTTGTTAGTATAAGAGTGTTTTATTATCTCTAATTACCTTACGTATTTTATTTATTAAAATTTGGGATGTTTGTTTGGATTTGGAAATTAAATATTAGTTTAAATAATAATCACATATATCAACTGCGATTAGTGAGTCAACATCATGATGATTGCTTTCATGAATATTGAAAGCAGGTTCATCACCAAATATTGCTATGCTCCTTGAGAGCTTTAGAGTTTTCGTCTCTTTGGAAGTCTGGTCTATTGTAAATGTTGTAGTAGGTGTCCTTTGGATACCAGTTGGGATCACGCATCTCATCTTCTTCTATTAAGTTTTCTTGTGACTTCCACATGTGACTGTGAGCGTGTGGATTTTTAACAGAGGGGAATGGTCTTGCATCTTCTGGAATGTACATTTGATCTTCAGTCATCAAGTAATGGATTCTGGAATCCATCTCGTACTCGAACCAGGTGTATGGAACTCCCAAATCGTAATCTGGGTGAACTCTAATTGGAAGCTCACCTGGAATTGGATCCCAAGGATTTTCATGCATTTCCCAAATGGGAGCATTTCCATAAACCATCATGGTCATTTCATCGTAAGTGGCAGATGGCCAGAGTACTTCAACCTTCTCTCCTTTTGAATTGGTGACTACTTATCTGCAAACATAAGCTTGATTGGCTTCATAGAAGACATCAATACCGAGATTGACAACTAGGTAAGCATAATCAACTTCTTCAGTTGGAGTAAGACCTAATTATTGAATTCTGAGTGCTTCTCTTCTTGTAAGTCCTGGAACTCTTCTCATCAACTCCTCAATATCTGTACTTTGAGCAGTGTGATCCCAAGGAGCTCTCATTTCTCCATATAACTTTTTGATGTCTTCCATTGTCCAGGGTCCGTCATATGGTGGAATAGGTCCGGACTATCTAACTGGATGGATATGTCTCATATTGTAGATGGGAGGAGGAGGGGTTGAGTGGAAAGTCTTAATATTGGCATAGATGTCATCAGTTCTAAAAAAAATTGTTTATCATTGAATAAATAGCTTACGAAGGCAATTGTTCTGGGACTAAATGAGCCTTGTAATGAAGTGGGTTGTAAGGTCCATGACTGAAGTCTCTTTGACTCTTAGTGATCAGAGATAATGCTCTCTGCATCATTGATTTACGTTGAAGAGTAGCAGCCTTGCTCAACATATTGAAATTAATTAATTATATTATTGGAACTTATAAATTATCATAAATACTATAAAGAGGGGTTTTGGGGTTTTGGGGTTTTGGGGAGATCGGAAGAGCACACGTCTGAA